ACAGACAGTCTCTGCTGGTATGTATTTCATTAGATATGTTCTGTGTATAATGTCTTGTAGCTAGTCTCTGCAAAATGAACCATTGAACAAAACAAAGTCTCCAAAACAAGCTATATGACAACGTTTCTCCCTATTGATATGCAATTGCCAAGCACCATTCACATTGTTATATATGTTATATCTGTCATATAACAATCTATTCTTCTTATCTGTGTAACAATGAAGTCTATGTTTTGTGCTAGTTGTATGCATATGATATAAAAACAACCTTGAGCCCCTTCTAACTACTCCATGTATTTCTTTTACAATTGCAATAGAATGTCTTCTGCAAGATCTGCAACACTCCCTGAGCTGCTCTGATGAAGAGCTTAATGAAGCATCAGCAGACCAGAGAGCTCCTCTGGCTTCTCTGGATTGGAACATTCGCAATGCTCTCTTTTCTGAGAGATGGAGGGAAAAGAGACCATCTCTTCTTAATAGCATGTTGGCCAAGGAGAGCGTGGCAACAAATGGCTGCAGCCAATGTGGGAACAACTGCGCGGCTATTAGATGCAGAGATTGCCTTCCATGTCACTTTCTATGTGCTGAATGTGACATCAGCAGACACAGCAATGCCTCAGTCCTCCATAACAGGGATGCCATGTTTGCTGGCTTCTTCGAGCCATTGCCTCCAACCACCTGTGTTGTTGAAAAGGCACTTACAAACTGCGGTAAGTTACACACTGCTTTTTTCTGAGCTAGTTTTTGTCTGTGTCAGTAATTATGAATTAGTGTAACCTATGTGTAATGTCTTTCAGTGCGATTTTTGCCTATTGAGATGCCTGTCAGCATCTGTGGGTGTCCCCCAGAAGCACTCAGGGTGATCAAAGGGAAGGCAGTTGCTTTGGTCACAATAAATGGTAATTATGCAAAAGATTTCCTTTATCCAGTTTCAACAAAACTATGTCTTTCTATTCAACAACTCCAAGAACTTAATGTCTAAAAAAATGAGCTCATTATGGTTGTCATGCAAACCTTTTGGGGGGGAATGTCACTTATTTATTCATGCCATTTACAAATAACTTATTCATGATAGTTCCCATCAAGTCAGCAAGCTTTACTGAACCACTTGGATATACACTATATGGCACATGCTACATAACATTCCAACCTTGGTTGTAAATGTAAATATTACCTTGTAGGACGGTATGATCTCAACATGCCTGAGCTGACCTGCGAGGGATGCCAGGCAACTTGGACAGCAGGACTTGATGACCTGATAAATAGTGGATACTGGCCTGCCACCCTTCATTTTGTGACAATTTATGAGACAGACCTGTTTTATACATTTGAAGACATGAAGATGGCATCACCCGGGATGTCTTTTCAGGCATATCTAAGAATGCTTGAGAAGCGGACTGCTCGCTTTGGCCGTGTAAGTATTTCTTTCTTCATTCTGCAAGAGCATAAATATGTTTGTGTTTTGAAATGGAAAGGTCTTTGTTTAAAAAAAAAATTGTGCTTTTTCTTTTTTACATGGACTGGGAAGATCTCATCAGACAGCTTCCAAAAAAGCTTTTTTGAATGGGCTTCTGTACAATCTGAGGTTGACTCCACCTGCAAGGAGGAGAAATTCATCTGTCCTGCCTGTACCCCAGCAATGCTTGCTGTCTCGGTGGATGGAAACCGCAAGCATTACCGCTTCAAAAGTACAGCTAGGTATACACTAATGTACACACCCACACTGTTTAAATATCAAAATAGATAGTAATGTAACCTTTCGATTATGATTAAAAAGAGGTGTTTGAAGTGGGGTTGTATGAGGTACTTATCCATGGTCAGTCTGTTACCTACAGCAGGCAATGGTCACCCTCACCCATCCCCTGCCTGTATTGTGGAGAAGCAGAAAAATGTGTTTTAGCCACATATAAAAGGCCCACCTGGAAAAAAAAAACAATATCCGGTATTTTAGTTGAGGTTAGATCTAGAAATATGCAAGTTCTACTGTTGAGACAATGTAGTGGCAAGGAAAAGGGCTGTTTGAACACTACAGTGTACTGTAGGTAACACACTTACTATGGATAAGTACCTTATACCACCCCACTTTAGAATACTCAACTATCCTTTTAAACATTGAGGTCTTTTTATTTCTTGTTGGTTTTTTAGATCTCAGGAGCGGGCCATCTTTGACGGTGTCTTCATTGCAAAAGATGAAGATGTGACCAGATTTGTGGATCACATCCACAGCAAAAATAAACATGTAATAACAGACTTGCATTTCTATCTCAATATAACATTATAATTCATAGTCAGTCAGTAATCCCATGTATTATGATATCTACCTGTATACCTACTTGTTCTTGATCTGCCAACACTAATCTGTTCCTTGTCCCCTGAAAGAAATGTATAATTGTTCCCTGTAATGACTGTTGATGAGATTATTTGTCAATTATGATTTTCTACAATGTAGGTCGCTGGAAGGAGCAATTGTGGTGGGGAGTGGTCAGCTGCCAGAGAGACCTCCCAAAGATCAAGCAGTAAGGTGGATGAGACGGGACTGGAGCTGGCAGTGTGCAGGCATGGTGTCTTGCTGGCTGCCCTTAATATGTTTAGGGGTGAAATATTTGCATACCCTATGTTTTTGCAGCAGCTGCTGGCATCCAAACATGACGTCACCTTTTTTTGTATGGATGTTGTGTGCAAATATTGGCCATACCTGCAAAGAATAAGCACCAACTGTCCCGAGCTCCAGCCCCTTCAGAATATGAGGCCCTTCCTGTCGGTTGTACATGCTAAAGCGCATGACTTCAAATGTGAGGTTGGTATAATGCAGTACATTTTTATCAAATGACTTGCAATCCTATAAATGATGCATATAAATGTGTAATGTTTAACTATCATTTAACAGATTATTTAACATTTATATTGTTATAGTTATTGTTGTTAACGTGAACAGCCCTTAATTGATATATCTACTTTTGTCAAGGATATTATTTTTCACCTGTCTGTGTGTGTTTGTTGATTTTTGATTAGACTTTAATTGAATTAAAAGTGACTGTTGGGCATTGCTTGAGGTATTTGCTGTACTAAATTCCCTTGATGTTTATGTTTGGGTCCCTCTCTCCAGGTGAAATGGAGTGGCACAAACCAAGAAGGTGCTGGTAAAACACTAGGGGAGGAAGTAGAGCAATGTAATGCTTTCCTCTCCAGGATAGCAGTCACCACAAAGCATATGTCAAAAGCAGGTGCTATATAATTGTACCTCTGTGTCTATAGAATAAAAGACATTTATATTATTACAAGTGAATTTTTACAGAACTCATCTCTGTGTATTTGCAGGACGCAATGACATGCTGACACTCCTGGCCATAAGATGTAACCAGCAGAAATGTCAAAACCTGGCTACTGGACTTTCCCAGAGATACCATAAGGTAAATAGAAACAATATTATTTTGCAGCAATGGCACAGTGTAAGTCAATGAAACGCACATACAGTTTTGTGCACATAGGCTTGTGATACATGATAGTTACAACATTTGCATAATTTGAGTTGCATTTATTCACTGTACACGTTGTACTGACTTTTAGCTTATGGTAATGATTGTCATTTTAGACATCTAAAGCTCTCAATATCCAGATGGGGGACCTGGAAACCCTGAAAGCCCAGCATCAACTGGATGAACAAACTGTGGAAGAATTTGTGCAAGAAGTAAAAGAATGGGCAGATGGTAAGAACGTGAAACATTATCTGACATGGAGAAACATTTGTGTTGTTTGTGAAGTTGATGCTACCTGCAATCAATTGTTTCAGGAGAAACTGACCATCAAGGCACACCACAAGCTTTGTGTAAGAAGATTGAGGACCTCACAAGCAGCATCAAGACGAGAGCTCAACTCCTATATCGGAAAAATGGTATGTTAACACTTTAGGCCTTTTCAGATCACAGTCTGAAATGTCTCCAAACTCACTTCATAATTACAATGTTCATACAGTTCTAAAAAGTAATGTTTCGTGTGTTGGACTTCTCCAAACTAAATTGAGTTGTGTTGAGTTATTCTGTAGGTACATCTATTATGATCCATCTGTTTGGCAAATGTATTGTCATTTTGCTGTGACAGCTGTAACTTAAACAAGATCATGGACTTACTGTATTTAAAAGATATAATGTGGGTTTATTTTTTTTCATTGGTTTTCAGACAGCAACAAAGGTCGACATAGAATTCGCAGAAAAATAAAGCAACAGAAGACCACTTTGAAGGCCATGGTGGCAGAATACAACAGTCTCGTTCCACACGAGCAAGCAGTGTGCATGGATAGCATTCTGGACACAGAACATCCCTGGCCTTGGCAAATTACACAGAGTGGTATGCATTTCATGTACCATGCGTATTCTTTAGCAGTGAAAGAAGTATCATCATTTACTTAAAAGGATGTCTATTTACAAAGTAAAAAATACTGATACTACACTGTAAAAATACTCACAAGTAAAATATTGTTTCAGGTATAATCAGTAAAACAGTATACTTAAAGCATCTAAAAGTGAAGTTAAAAATTAATCATATTTTCCTCTGAGATGTAGTTGCAGTAGAAAAAAAGTAGCATCAAAATGCCAGTACTCAAATTTATACTTAAGCACAGTACTTTAGTGAATACACATTTCATCACTATTATTCTTACATTTAGGTGTTCCAGTGGACATATTTGCATTCAGACAAAGTATGCATATGTATGACAGAAATGATCTCTGAAGCTACATGCTATATACAGTGGTCTGAATTTTTCATATTGATGTATTACAGGCTCTGCTGATTTTAGCACAAAGAAAGAAGTCTTCGATAGGGTCATGGGTGTTCGAAGGCTTCAAGAGGAGAAGAAGATCCTTGTGAAAGAGATGAAGCAGCACTGGGAGTCTCTCAAAGCCCATGCCAGGGTCTTGTCTGAGTTGTCTCAGCATCAGAGCGAAGACACCATACAAAGTAAATGCGGCCTTGTACTTTAACTTTTTTTAATTTCCTGTGTTTCACAAAGTTATGTTTAAATTGTGAAAGACTTGTTCTTTACCTGGACAGTGACATATTTTATCCCTTCTTAAGGACATCTCACAGAGAAAGCCACAAAGGGTCACACCTGCCTCATCCTCAGAAAGCAGTGGGAAATGAGAGAGCTGCAGCGGCACATAAGAAAACACTACCTGCATGTGCTGTCATCAGCAGATGACATAATGGACACAATCGACAGTTCAGATGAGTTCGACATAAGCTCTGAAGATTCAGAGTCTGATGCAATGTAAAACAGGAAGAAGATGTGGTGCTCATGATCACAGTGCACCGTGTGCGACACATGGTCACACACAGCATGTGGCTTTTAAAAAGTAACCAATTTATGTGGTCATTGTCAGGATTAAGTTGGAGATGACAGTTGTAGTTTTTTGTATTTGGTTGTGAATGCTTTCATCACTTATATAAGGTTTGATTTTTCTACTGGGTTGTGGAGTCCTGGTTAATGTTGTATTACATCTTTACAACACAAACCACTGTCCTTTACGGTCTTATCTTTGATTCATGTTCAGGTTCAGAGTTCACAAAAGGCACAATAAAAACTACATTTCTGATTGAGTCCTTGAATGTTACCGCTGTTTTAGGTTAGACTTATTTTATCTGAGCAATTCCCACATGTGTTCAGAGTACATGAATTCAGTATATGGCAAGAGGAGAGATTCAGAGGAAGGACTAGTGACATGGGATTTTCAGCATCAAGTTTTCAATTACAGGAACAGTGTTTTAATGCAATTATTAGTATAACATCCAACTTTACACAGGTTGAATGATTTAGCAAACCACATTTCATAGTGATAAACTGTATATCAGATGAACTAGCCCACTCTTTCATCCCATCTATTAATCAGCCCAACTTCTTTCATCAACCAGATAGACATGTGTGTACACATCAGTGTTTATATAGGCTTAATCAACTAGCAAATACTAGTAAATATACAGACAAATAATCGTAGAGTAAAAACTACAATAATTCCTCTGAAGTGTATTGGTGTAAAAACATTTATGTAACATGTAACATGTAAAGAAAAGACTCAAGTAGTACCAGTATCTTGAAATTTGCCCTTAATCAGCAGTTCTTGCTAAAATCACTTTAATTACATTTCCCACCACTGACACATTATGGCAAGCACCCGATAGATTAAAATGACTATATTAGATTATGACCACATATATATATATATATATTACAACCCTCACACAGATAAGGCATGGTCCTGCCAATCTACAACTGCATGACCATAAGTAGATTTTTTGAGGATATGTGGGATATTAGAGGTGTTGAGAGTGCTGCCTGTTGAAGAATGATCTTTATTATTCTTTTTGTGGTGCATCACTTGACTGTATGCTCCATTAAATATGTTTTAGTGTTAGGCAACATGGGCCAAGTGAGTGCCCTGCCGTGGGGGTATGGGATGTTGGCATGTCCATGGCAAGGGGACCATTGTGTCATAATCTGCCTATGGGTAAAAAAAGGTCTACACTAGCCCAGATCCCAAATTATGAATGTGATTAGGAAAAACATCAATACCTTGAAGGTTTTTACCAAAAAAAACAAGCAAATAATCCAAAGATTTGAGTTCATCCAGGCTGGAGTCTCAAATGGTCTCAGAAACTACACCTGAAAGAGGCTGGCACCAAACAAAGGTGAGAATTAAACTTTATCCTAGAGCAAAATTAAAGACATTTTTGGAAAGGTCTTGACCTGGAGAGTAACATATATCAATTTGAAGGTTCTATATTATTCCTGCTTTGAGATATTGACCTTTGAACCTTAACCTCAGGGCATATTTGAAGGCTTATAATTACGGGACAAAAAGGGTTACAGACATGAGACCAACTGTTATAGAAAGGTGTTGACTTCAGCTATGTGACTATATTCATATAAATATAGTCACCAAGTGGGGGCACTGTCAAGTATGATCAAAATGAAATTTCACCAATTTAACAATTGCATATTTAAAATCTGATCACATAAACGCATTTTCCAGCCCTTAAAATCTACCAGTATACTCTTAATTTAATATTTACAACTTCCATTTTTAGGAAATGTACCATTAAAAAAAACTACAATTCCCTTGTGCCGCGCCATGCAGCTTGATACAAATTAGCACCATATTTGTAGTTCTTCCGGTTTGCAAAGTATTGTTGAGAATAGGGTCGTAAAAAGATATATCTAATGAATATATCAAACATTTAGTGCAGCCGAATTAGTAATTACACTCCATCTAGATGATTGATGTTAAAGAAAAGTAAAGATGTTGGCTTATGTCAGATATTCTTATTGTTATTCTATAAATGTGGATTTGGGTTAGCTAATTCTTCCGGTTTGTAAAGTAGGGTTGTAATATCATACATCTAATGAATATAACAAACATTTAGTGCAGCTAAATTACAAATTACACTTCATCTAGATGATTGATGTTAAGAAAAAGTAAAGATGATTCTTTCAGATAGAAATAAATACTGTTTCTTAAGTTTTTTTGATTTAAAGTGCAAGCGCCAAGAAGTGACGTCATTCACTGCGTCTTGTTCGCGGTACTTGGTAACGCGGGTACTGTCCTTGCGCGGGGAAGCACACGTTTAGAAAATCTGTTGTAGAAGTAAAAGGAGGCAGGTAAGAAACACAGTTAATGTTTTGAGTATGTACCTAAAAATGTAAACTATAAAACAATATACTTTTTTAGAGATGCAGCAATATTATTTTTGTACAGGTATAACACATTAAAAATGTTCAATGTAACATCAGTTTTGGTTAGCTAATGCATACTATGTTATAGGATGCACATTACTATGCACATTATGCTGGTCAATGGGAATTGTAACTTAGTTCTTTTTATGTGTCACACTCTTATTTGCTTTTCCATTCATCTTGCTCTCAAAGTCATGACGAAGCCCAAAGCAAGAAGCTGCCCCAATTGTGGAGCAAGCAACACTGCCAATCAGAAGACCTGTGCCAGCTGCTATGTTTGCCTCCTGCAAAAAAAGTCTTTCAAAGAAAAAGAAACGGCAGTGAGGACAGGCAACTGGGGTCAGAACACCCTAAAACATAGAAACGGTGCCAGAGTTGTGGCCTCAGCCCATGTAGCGGTAAGGAGTTCATCAGTTTTTCTTCTAATTCATTCATAATATTATTTTCATTATGAGTAGCTGTATTGAAAAATTTCAATATTATTGACTTTGATGTGTTGTGTGTGCGCATCAAATTTGAAGTCCATTGTATTCATTAAAGGTTGTTGACCATAATACAGCCATTTCATATGAGCCACCCCTAACCTTAAATGTAGCTAAGGTTCAAAATGAGTTGGCTCATTCTTGACATATGGGCTTGTGGTCCATATAGCATTTTTTTCTGACAGCAAATTTTCACCAATGAGGATAGAGCTAGGCCCGGTTCCAGAACCAAAGGACTTCAGGTGCATCTGAAATTAGTGGTGGTACACTAGTAGCTACAGTGCGAGCTGCCAACAGCTATTAAAGTAGAGTGGTGTTTGATGATCCAGTGTTGGGTCCCAGATAAACAGATCATGCTGGAACACAGACAAAAAAGTTGTAAACAGCAGTACGTTAAAACAGAGTGCCATTCATTTTCAGCAACAGTTTGCTTTACGAGTCTGAAGGACACCCATACCCTCAAACTCCAGTCCTCAGAGGAATCATGGCTGAATACTATGACCAGTGCAGTGCAAACACATTTGTATATCATTAATTACTAAACTATGTGACCATGTATGAGGTGAGATACATTAGAATTCCAAATAAAACAGTCTTTGCAAAATATTAAACTGAGGGTGCAATGCATGTGTTTGCACCTCCGAAGAACTAAACTAAAACGAAATGGAGGGAAAACTTGTTTTGGCCATGTCTGTCTCCTGAGCTTTATGGTATTTCAGACAGAAACTATAATAACAGAGACAGTGAACTCTCTGTTAACATAGCATTTGTTTCTCTCAATGCACAAGTGCTTCATCCCAGCGCTCCACAGAACCCTGTTCACACTTTTCTGTCAGAAAAAATGCTATATGTACACCCACTTACAGTTTATTAGAAAATTCTGAAAAAAACCCTTGAAAAAGATTATAGACATTAGCAAACACTGGTGCACACATAACGTTCAAATAAAGGGGAAAAATGGAACATGTCAGATTGTCAGTGTGTAATAATAATGCCATGTTAACATTGTGTGTAATTTATTGTGTATATTTCAGGTGAGCAAGCTTGCTGCCTTGGGCTACAACCCAATTTTGTTCATCGGGAAGAAGAAGAAGAAGGGGGTGAACACAGTAAATGCTGAAATGATCACCTACATGTGCCCTGGAGGGGACGGGCCTGTAAAACCCTTTTTAGAAAAGATGAGCACAGCATATGAGTACATTATTAAAAGTAAGGCAAACATCTGTTTTTATGATTTATGCTTTAGGATGTGCTGTCATTGTGAGTAATATTTATATATATATATTATTTCAGATTCTCAAAGGATGCAATTGCCAGAAGCTCCCAGCCCAACTCCAACTCCACAGTCTACCTGCTTTCCCTCCCAACCCTCTTCTCCTCCTCATCCTCCAGACCCTTCCACCTTTCTCCCATCTACTTCTCATCCCCAAATGGACCATGAGGAGGAGACTTACACCCTAACCCTCATCCCTGTCCA